GTCTTTATTTTTTAACTGATCTGGAGAATATCGTTAATGGGGGAAATATTTTTCAGTCAATCTTTAAGACTTTTTTGCTTTACAAAAAAAGATGAGGCATAGTGTGTTTTTCTTTTCTATTGGTCACCCAATATGAGGCCCGAGTACCACTGAGGGTAGAAGGGGTTTCTGCAATTGTAGATTATGAAGATTTGTAGGATATATAACGGTTGAACTTGGACTTGAAGAAGTTAAGATTGTATTGTTGAGGAAGTATCCACTCGGGCGTCTCTTCCACAAATCAGCGGCTATCCGAATTGAACTTCCTTCTTACTAATGGAATATAAAGAGAATGAGGATGGTCCGCTACTATGAATACGGCATAGCGAGTTCTGTGGATAATCTTTCTCTTTTTCTTTACTTCTTTTTCGTTTAGGTACATTTTTCTGTTGTTCAGGAAGAGTTTGAACTTAAATTGTCCAATGTCTTATCAGCACGTTTGGGTTTCATATAAGAAAAATTACTGATCAGAAACCAGAAAATAACACGTGAAGACTTGATACTTAAAGAAATCATCCGAACAAGCACAACACCCACTGAAAATCACCAAAGAAACAGTGTATATACAACTTCATGGACACCAATATCATGTTCATAACGGTGCAAATATATATATATATATATATATATATATATATATATATATATATAGTGTGTGTGTGTGTGGATTTAGGCAGCATTTTTTCATTCATGCATGTTTCATTAAATAATATAGACAAGTGGTGTCTACTTATTTTAAGTAAATTCTTTTCATATCGTCTGATAAGCTTAATAACATTATCATTAAACGAAGAAAGAAAATCACAATATTGATACATATTTTTTAATCCTATCTAAGCTTTCGGCTTACAGAAGTCGTTATCAAAGATGACAATTAGATTACAATATATTGAGCAATACACGGACAAAACAGTGATGATCTTCTCTTTCTGTTTACATGGAAGATTTCCAATCAACGACAAACTTGTGCATATAAGACGCTGGAAGCGAAAATCGCACTGCAGCTCATGACGTCACACATGACCATGTGAGAGTGAAAACGAGAAGTATTAAGTATGAGAAGCCGTTGTTATAAACCAATGGCTTCTGTTATCAATTATAGGCATTTAAGAATATTTGTAAAGATTTCATAGTTTATTTTGTTCAGGTTAGGTTTCAACTGTTTTATGTATATAGCTTCAAGAAGTTTTTGTTTATTGTTTTTATGTTTAAGTATAGTTGTGTTTTCAACAAGGATTTTCCATAATTGTGTATGGGAAAATGATATATACGTAATAATAAAATATTATTATATATATTACATCAGAACAATTTTTCGAAAACTCTATGACAATGATTATGTGGACATAAAAGGGATCTTTTACAAAACAACATATTCATTGCATTAGTTGCTCACTCGAATGAGTCTGACCATAAATCTGAATAGAAAATGCCACTGTAATTAAGAGAGAAAACAATTTACTAAGTGTTAAGGGGTCCACCCCTTTTTCATACAAGTGGACTCGTCCAGTGTGTACTTATACTACTGCCGGTGAATACCCAGAGAGTGATAGTGATACAGTGATACAGTATGGGAGCGGGAGTGTGAGCGCTTTGTAGGAGTCACAGTTGCGAGCACGTAGACCCAGAAGGAAGTCATACTTCGATACTGAATTTCCCAGACAGTATATATATTATTCGATCTACTAACAGTATTACCAATTGTATTATTACGTCAATACATTTATTTGCTATATTTCATTCCTGCGTTTGTCATTCATTTGAGACCGGATTTCATCCCGGAATCCACAACACTAAGACGAAAATGTAAAGAAAGTGTTTCAATCACTAGATCATCTACAGTAAATTTATATTCAGGTTCTTACAAGATTTCACTTTTCTTGGTAACTTTCTGTGATATTTAAAAACAAAACTGATAAAAACCTAAGCAAAAAGAAACCAAATAAAATCGACTCAACTATATACATATTAAAAAACTCCAAAGTCCCCTCTACTTCATGCGATTGTGTAATCATATCAACGAAAATATCATTTTAATTCGATGATGCCTTAAATGAAAAAACGTGTGACACAAAAAAAAAATTCCACTTTTCCTAAAATATATATTTTTTATTACTTAAACGTTTTTATTTATTTTATGTTCTGTTTATTTATTAAAAGTATATTTATTTATTTTCACCTACCGGCCTGAATATGCTAGAAATCTGGTTAGAAAAATATTCGCACCCCGGCAGGATTCGAACCTACGTTCCCCTTGTGCAGTGATACCCAAACTGTGCGCCGTGCTTCAAACATGAGGCGGAATGATTGAAAGATAATGAAAAATTTAGAAAAAGGTTTTAAAATTTCTTGTGCCAAAAATGAATATGATTTCAAAAATTAAAATATTATTATTGATTACTTGTAATTCCATGCATGAGTCCCAGTATAAAAAAAGTTATTTATAGTTATAAAAGTTAAT